CGATCATCATCGAATTCAATGTCGACGTACAAGCTCAATTACACTGTACTACTTCAATCTCTTTTTCTTCTTCGATTCTGTTTTCTTCTGCTTTGCGTGTTGGGTTCATGATTTGGCTTTCTGGGTTTTTCTTAAATCTCTCTGCTGTTTAATTTTCGTCTTCAATTTGGGATTTTTAAAGCAAAATTTGTTAAATCTCTCTTTGGGGATTTATGATCGCCGCAAATTTAGCTTATTGAAATTGATTCAGTAATGAGAATGCAAGAGAGATTGTTCTAGAGGAATCGGTATTTTTGGTTCCTCGTTATGTTTGCTATGTCTAAATCTTTGAAAGCTTTGTGTTTTTTTTTTTTTGAATCAGAAACGTTTTGAGTTTGACTTTAATTGGATTTCTTTTGCAGGATTCGTTTGTAAATGGAGACGCAAACAGTTTGTGTTCAAACCCAGAGAATGGTTTCAGTGATTTGTCTTCATTTGCTCAATCAGAGAAAGCTGTTCAGGAGCTTCTTAGTCAACAGACTCCTATGCAGGCAACAGACGACCATCTCATTGAGTTTTCAGAGGCTTTGAGAAGTAAGCAACGGATATGTGTAACAAAAGCTTCAAGCTTTGTTTTTCTGTGGTCATTTCGACTTACTATGAGTTTTCTTGCATATTTGTAGCTGTTGCAAAGGCACTAAGAGGAGCTGCTGAAGGAAAAGCGTTGGCTCAAGCCGAGGCTGCTGAATGGAAGCGAAGATATGAATTGGAGAAGTCGAGGAACCTCAAGTTGCAGCATAAAGGTTCTCTACTAACTTAATACGACTGTTTACTGTATGTCTTTTTTGTCTTCTCCATTCGAGTGATCTGAATGGGGCTATTGGCCATGGATGTGTTTGAATAACAGAATTTCTGATTGTATCACAGAACCGTCGGATGGAGTATCTGCCGATGAATCTAATAGTAGTTATAGGATGGAGCACTCAGCCAAGTCTCCGCGGCTTTATATTCAGGAAAACGGGAATTCTGGAAGAAATTGCACGGAGCGTATTTGCACTCATGAAGTTCTCCAAGATGGTGGATTTAACAGTACTAATGGGGAGAGCAACAAATTGATGAAGAAGGTAATACAGTTAACTGTTGCGATCCTTGCTTTGATTTTTTAGCTATGCAAGCCAAAAACCATAACTAGGCAATGTTTAGTAATATTAACCCTTGTGCATTTCTTGAATCGCTGTCGTTCACATGATATGCTGCTAATTATGTCATCTAAAATTCATGTACATCAGCCTTTGTTGGACTTGCACATTCTAGTCGTAGTTGTTTAAGTATCTTCGCATTTGCTGTATCCCAATTACTTTGACATTCAAAACTGGCGACGATATTGCAGGAAATGATTAGGCTACAGTAACAAGGAAAGAATGAAAACTCGATTCTGTGTATTTCACTTGTTCACAAAGTGTATTGAATTTTCTTGAAAATTGGTTGCAGGCATCATTTAAGCTTGCATGGGGATGCAAGGGGGCTAATGATCAACACAAAAAAGAAATCGTTTCGTTCGAGAGTGGGAACATCACTACAGCAGAGCGCAGTAGCAAACAGGTAGGAACACCGTGTCATCTTCCTATCACTTAAGTTGCTTGGTAAGATGTTATTTAGTAGACTAAACCCAAACAACTTCTAATCTCAGATTTCACTGACATGGGAGTCCAATCCACAGACTGTGCTTATTTTTACTAAGCCTAATTCAACTTCAGTACGAATACTCTCTGTGGAAATGGTCAGGTCAGTATTTATATTTTGCAATTTTTTCTTAGCTCCCCGCTGCTTGAATGGTTGCTTCATCTCTTTTAATTTTCCGACTCACAAAACTAGCTTACGTCTCTAGCAAATATTTAATATTGGGTATGTGCACATTTGGAAGGTAAAGTCTTGCTTCGCCTGAAGTAATTAGATTTTGATTTTGTCGCTATTTCAGATGGTTGAGAGCGCATAAAGGACTGAATATTTACGTGGAACCGCGAGTCAAGGCAGAGCTCTTATCAGAATCAAGTTCCTTCAATTTCGTACAAACTTGGGTTGATGGTAAGATATGATATAATGTTTTCAGATTGTTATCTGACATTGATGCCTACGAGAAAAGTCTAGGGAGCACAGATCAGCTCATTCGAAGGCTTAGGCCTTGTAATAAACTTTTAGTTATCAGAAGTGTGAAATAACTTATTTTTTACCAATTGATGATTTGTGATGCAGACAAGGAAATTTCACTTCTACACACAAAGGTTGACCTTCTTATAACTCTTGGTGGGGATGGCACCGTACTCTGGGTAAGTCAATCTCGGATTCATCTGACTCGAGTTTATATCATCTTCCGTCTGTAACTTGTTGTGATCTAACATGGAACATCTTAACGGTTACAGGCAGCATCGATGTTTAAAGGACCAGTGCCTCCAATTGTTCCATTTTCCATGGGATCGCTTGGATTCATGACTCCTTTCCGTATCCTTCATCTTTTCTTTATCAGTTATGTTAAGCTGGCATTACACATTATCTGTTACAGAAACTTTTCTTTAACCCCAATCCAGACAGTGAACAATACCGAGAATGTCTTGAAGCGGTTTTGAGGGGTCCAATCAGTATAACACTACGACACAGGTTGCAGTGTCACATTATCAGAGATAAAGCAAGGCATGAATTTGAAACAGAGGACACTATGCTTGTTCTGAATGAAGTCACCATCGACCGTGGAATATCGTCTTACCTCACAAACCTTGAATGCTACTGCGACAACTCATTCGTCACATGTGTGCAAGGCGATGGACTAATACTGTCTACAACATCTGGTAGCACTGCGTATTCACTTGCAGCTGGAGGGTCAATGGTCCATCCTCAGGTAAGAACTATCCCCTGTAATCTTCATATTCAAATCGAAAGGTTGAAAATGTTAAAGCTTCAAATTCATGCACCATTGAAGAACTTGATAGATTGCACTATAGCTCCTCTTAAACAGCAATAAACAATCATGGATTATATTCTAACTTAATGTTTTGCAGGTTCCTGGAATCTTGTTCACGCCAATATGTCCGCATTCTCTATCGTTCCGCCCACTGATATTACCGGAACACGTGACTGTGAGAGTGCAAGTGCCATTCAACAGCAGAAGCTCTGCTTGGGTCTCCTTTGATGGGAAAGACCGGAAACAGCTTGAAGCAGGGGATGCACTTGTGTGTAGCATGGCACCATGGCCAGTCTCAACCGCTTGCCAAGTTGAATCAACTAACGACTTCTTACGCAGCATCCATGACGGTCTTCACTGGAACATAAGAAAGACTCAATCTTTTGACGGTCCTCGTGACACATAGAAACAGACTTCTCCAGCTTTTCTCTCCTTACTTAGTCCCAGTGTCTATCTATATTCTATCTATTGTGCATATAGATAAAGATGTAAAAGAAAGTGATGGGTTCCGCAAGAGAATCTAGTCTGTATCCACTGTTGGGTGTAAAGGAGATGTGTAGTATGTAGCTGCTATGACCCATACTGTTGACAGATTACTCAAAAGTTAATGAATAAAAGATAATTTCTGCATGATATTGTGTTCAATAGCCCTGTTTCCAAAATGCTTACAAATTGTCTTAATATCTGCTTTACGGGTAAATTTAAGCTACTTACTACATAATTTCCTATTGGCTTGAATCAGCACATAGCTGTGTCATGGTAGAGAAGAGCACAGCATTGCCTGCAACCAAAAGATTCAAATAAAAATAATCTCATGTCCTAACTTGCCACATTTTTTTTGAATACTCAAAGATTAGTAAGCTTACTTAGTAATAAGATG